CTGTTCTTCCCTAGTGCCCACCCGCCGCCTTATTGTGAATTAGCATTTGCATATTAGAGAAAACATTCGGCCTTTGGTTTTGTGGGATTGGCTTATTTCACTTAGCATGATATTCTCCAAATCCAACCATTTATTGGCAAATTCCGTAATTTTATTCTTCTTTAAAGCTGAGTAATATTCCATTGAGTACCACATTTTCTTTATCCATTCATTTATTGAGGGATACCTAGGTTAGTTTCGTAGTCTAGTTATTGTGAATTGAGCTATAAACATTGATATGGCTGTGTCACTATAATATGCTGATTTTAAGTCCTTTGGGTATAAACCAAGGAGTAGGATAGCTGGGTCAAATGGTGGTCCCATTCCCAATTTTCTGAGGAATGTCCATACTGCAAATGAGAAACACCATTTAGTGACTGATGTCAAAGGAGAGTGCACTGTCCTCTTGGAACAGTCAAGAGTGTGAGATGCTTTATTCCTGGTAGAGACTGTTCTAATGTCAAGGTCTGGGGGCTTCTCCCTTACTCAGCTCAGCCTGACTCCAAGCAGTCTCAATGAACACTTACTTAACTCTGTCAATGTCTATGTTTTTTAACAAAAGAATCAAAACACCAACTTTACCCTAAAATGCTTAAGAAAATGCAGAACATTGAAAAATTAACTTAGAGTTCCTCAGATAAATACATAGCAATTAAAACTATTTCTGACCAGGCTTGGTGATGCACACCTGTAATCTCAGCAAGTCAGGAGGCTGAGGCAAGAGGATCACAAGTTTGAGACCAGCCTTCTCAACTTAGTGAGACCCTGTCTCAAAATAAAAAATAAAAAGGGCTGGGCTGGGGATATGGCTCAGTGGTAAAGTGTCCCTTGGATTAAATCTCAGTACCAAAAATAAGTAAATAAATAAACCAATTCCTGGTAGAAGTATATATTGAGTTATTTTGCTATTTAAAAGGGTATGTTGCTTCATGGTGGCCCACTGAGTTCAACCTCACCAGGCCTCACCCATCAACTGTCACTGGTGTTTTTTCCTGTTGTCGCTTTTTTTTTTTTTACTTCCTTAAAGGAGGTTCTCAAAATGCCACCTGTCAAGGAGCAAGTAGCCTGTTGAAAATCTGGTTGAGGAGCATAAAGTCTCTCATGGTACAGCACGTGCTGTTGATGTCTTACTATAGGATTTGGTTGGTGAACTTGCCCTTGTTGTCACAGTGCACAAAATGAAGGTAGAAATGATGGATCATCAGCATTCCAGTCTCTTCTTTAGTACTTCTAAGATTTTCTCTGGGAAAAGTTTAATTTTAGCTTCACAAAGTTATTTTCAGAGTATAAAAAAAAGCAAAAGAATTTTACCAAACTGATGTCAATAAATACAAAATTTTAAATATGCCCAAATGAGGACACACAGTTGAAAAGGTTATTTTAAAAATCTCATTAAAATTGTAGGAAATTTGGAAAATACATAAAAGTATAATGGAAATTTGAATCTCCTCTGTTAATGATTTTGTTTTTTTCTTTTCTTTCTTCATGCATTTATTTTTCTCTTAAGTGACATCAAATTATATAATGCTTTTAAAAATTAATTTAAAATAAGAAAGGAATGTGTTGAAGAGCAGTTTGGTGAGTGGGTGGGTTTATAGAAGTTCTATCAACTGCCTTCTCATTCTTCCTGGGAATTCGAGACTATTCACCAAGCAGCGTCTCTTCCCTGGAGAGTGAAGGGCCAGGGAGAAGAAGCTCAATAACCAAAAGGATCGGTTTGAAATTCCTCCCATGTTTTAGATTTTAGGGCCATCTGTTAAGACAGAGTACGCTGAGACCTCAGCCTGTCTCAGATAATCATTATTGTCAGTAAAAGTCTAATGCCACACTGAATGAATTAACACCAAGCCACATCAACTTCAGCTCCTCTCAAAATGAGCTTCATCGGAGACACTCATAAATATGTAAACAGGGAACGTGGCGTGGGTAAAATTAGACCTCATCTCTTACGCACAAAGAAGGAGGAAATGAAGTCTGTTCTGGCAGGAAGAGTAAGCCCTTGAGAGAGGCCTTTCTTGTCCCCTGTTTGTGAGCACCTTCTCCTGTCCCACACCTATAATGGAGTAAGTCTTACCCCCTCCAGGGTCAGAGGCACCAAGGCTTCCCACGACTGCCTCCCAAACCGAGTGAGCACTAGAATAATTTTCATCCAATGTCATGGCTGTCAAAACAACATGCCCCATCCCCTCCTCTCAAAGCAGCAGAGCTTTCTGAAGGTTCCTAAGATCCAAGGTCACAACAGTCAATCTGTGGGTTAAAGCAGCACTGGTTTAAATCCATGGGATGAAGTAGCTCCTGGCTGAGGATTTCAGTGTAGATTTAGAAAGTCAAAGATTCATCAAACAGACAATCTGGGTCCCTTGCCTTTGCAGAATTTGATTTATCTACTAAGTAAAATACTAATTTCCCACTGCTTGGTGCATAACACTTCAAGTAAGAAAATGAAAGTTTTCTATTATTAAAAAAAAAAGATTCTGTCATATTCTTTTTTAATATTTATTTTTTAGTTGAACGCAATACCTTTATTTTGTTTACTTATTTTTATGTGGTGCTGAGAATCGAACCCAGGGCCTTGCACATGCTAGGCTAGTGCACTCCTGCTGAGCCACAACCTCAGCGCCGCCCTCCCCACCCCCCGCCCATTCCGTCATATTCTTTTCTGATATTTCCTTCCTCAAAGACAAACACATTCCCAGATTCCAAGACCACATACATTCTCAGCTCCTCAAGATTGAAACAATTTTCAGTCTTCATGTTTTCCATAGCTTGTGGAGACAAAGCATTTCAGCTGCTTGCATTTTTATTTTCTTGAAGACCCAGAAATGGTTGGCAGATCAAAATGAATCAAGTCTTCAGTGCTATATCCCCAAACTTCACACTTTTTTTTAAACTCAAGCTGTTAGCCATGTAGAAAACTTAACTCAATCTTTAAAATATTAAGAAATATTTCAGATATGAAAGTATGTGTAATATAACAAACACCTGTGAACTCAATAGTCAATGTAGGAATTAAACATGAACCATACAGTTGGAATTTCCTGTTGGCCCACCCCTGAGAACCACTATCTTGAATTTGATATGATTTCTATGCTTTTCTTATTTTATTGTGCTTTTGTTTTGCATGTTTTAAAGCTTCATATTATATGCACTCACTTGGGATTTGCTTTTTCCTCTTGACTTTAGAATCTTGAGATTCATCTATATATGTGGGGAGATATATACACACACACACACACACACACATACACACACACACACGCTCATGCCTAACCTTTGTATGATGTCATACACATATATACAACATATGTGAATATCAACATTTACTTATCCACTACTAAATATAGCTAAATTGTCCTATAAAGCATTTGTACTAATTTTAACACCCACTACCAATATATAAAATCGTTCTTGTTGTTTCCTATCTTTGACAAAGCTTGATATCATCAGAGTATAATTTTTGCATTGTGATGGGCGAAGGGACACTCATTGAAGTTTTTGTCTTTGTTTCTGGTTATGAGTGAGATTAAGCATGGTTCTTGGCCAGTTTTCAACTCCTTGAATAATCTGTTTGTTTCTTGTGGCCATTTTTCTATTGGAAGGATGTTGTCAATGGTGGTGTTTCTCATTACCTTTTAGAAGTCTGTTATGTATTCCAAAAGCTAAGCCTCTCTCAGTTATGTGCATTACAAATATCTTCCTTCAGTCTGTTTGCCTTTGTATTTTGCGTATGTTGAATTTTGGTGCAAAGATATTTGACATTTCCATGTAGTTAAATGTTATCAGTTTTTTACCTTTGGTTTGTCTAGATCTTGTGTAAGAAATACTTCCTTACCTCAAGATCATAAGGAGATCCTCCAAGATTTCCATGTGAAACTTCAAGTTTTACCTTTCATATTTAACTCTTTAAACATTTCTGGGAATACTCTTTGTGTTGGTATGGGTTAAGTTTTCATTTTCTTTCATTTGGAACCCAGTGGTCCTCATACCACTTATTGACTAGTCCACCTCCTCTTGCTGATCCTTCAAGGCCAGCTCTGTCATCTATCAAGGATGGGGCTCTCTGCCCTGTTTTATTGGTCTGTTTATCTACCCTGGGATGAAAATTATTATTGTCATTTTATAATTGTCATTTTATAAAAGGTCTTGGTATCCAGGAAAGCAAGTTCCTACATTTCATTCTTCTTCAAAATTAGTTTGGTTATTTGGGGCACATCTTTAATCTTTCTTCTTTCCTTGAGTTTGCCCTGACCTAGTACAAACAATCAAATGTCAAGCAAAAGGGAGAAATCAAGCCAATGTCAGTCATGAATAAATGATAAGCTATTTAACACCTAATAACTTAAAAATTCCTGTGTAGCAATGAGCATAGAAGGCCCATATAAAATTAAGCATTTGTTTACAAAAAAAAAAAAAAAAAATCCCCCCCCCCCCAATTTTCTGGGATATAGCAAGGGCCATTTAAAAATAGAAACCAGAGACTATTTTCTGGTCAGTACCAATATGCTTGCCTTTATTTTTTGAAAATACTTTTAAATATATATATTGCATGCAGAAGAGTTTTATGAAGCAGTGCTAAGAATGCACATTTGTTTTCTGGGTCACTCAAAATATCTGAATCAAAGGTCAGACTTTGCCAAGGATAAACACCCAGAAGGCACTAATTCCTTTGCAACATGGACCTCAAAGTGAAGCATTCTTTTTTTTTTTTTTTTGTATATTTTGTTTTTAGTTGTAGTCAGACACAATACCTTTATTTTATTTATTATTATTATTTTTTTTAAAAATGTGGTGCTGAGGGTTGAACCCAGCGCCTGGCACATGCTAGGTGAGCACTCTACCACTGAGCCTCAACCCCAGTCCCCGAAGCATTCTTTTTCTCATCCAAGGGAGACTTTATTTTTCTGCAAAGTGTACTTGGGAACATTTCCATAACCTCATGATGTCTCCTTGGTGTTCTTCAGTGTCTTCAGATTCAGATGATCTTATATGGACCGCAAGACAAGAGGACCCAGGCCACCCAGCAGTCTGTGGACACCCTGTCCAAGTAAGTTGGCTTTCCCTTGCTCTTCTTCTCTAAGTCTCCCATTCCTTCACCATTCAGAATCCCAGAGGAGGCTGATTCTATAAGGTTCTGTGGAATGTTTTACTGACTTCCCACAACTTGCATAGTTAAATGCAGGACCTGTTTCTTTGAAAACTCAGTCATAAAATATCTTCCTTGCCTAAATACTAGAAAAGAATTTGCTCTTAAATAATTTCAGAAACACAAACTAGATCCCATCCTCCTGCAGATCAGCCCCCTGTAGGTTAAGGCACCCATTATGATGTGGGGAGGTAGCCTGCTGGAGTTCTGCCTCGGGTTCCCTCAGCCCTTGGAGGCCTGTCAGGGTAGGAGTCAGAGAGTCCCTGACCTCATCTTGAAGGCTGGCCCATCCTTTTGCTAGCCCTGAGCAGAAGCCCAGCAAACTGTCAGAAGGTCCCCCACTTCACATAGCCTGTGCCCCCTGTGTCCACTTTCAGGGAAGTGCCCCAGTAGCAGAACCCTGGGCCAGCCAATAGGAGAACTGTCCCGTTTTAGGGTGGGGCACGTAAGTCAGCCTGGCCTCCTGTCCAGCCTTGACACCCCTCCTTGCTCTTGTCCTGCTCACTGAACTAAAAGTGTTGAGTGGCTCAGCTCAGTCAGGGTGGTGGCAAAGAATTGAGACAGAAGAAAAGCATCTTGTGTTTGATGCTCTTGTGCCATGATTCTCTCACTTACACCCTCTCCTGAGACTTATAAAATGTTTCTGATCAGTCACAAGGTTCCTGTCACAACAGCAAAGAAACCATGGAGGTGGAAACCTTGCAGAGGCCTAAGGGGGGCCACACATAACCCACTCTTTCCTTGTTTACAGGACCCCCGAGGTTGCCGGAAAGGCAAGGAAGTCTCCAAAAGCCATAGTGGCATTCTGCACCACTGTCCCTCAGCACTCTGCACTGGGAAAGGCCAGGACCAACCTGGCAGACTGAGACCCCTCACCCTTACTCCAGCGAAAGCCTTGGGCCGTCCTGGGCACTGCCATTGAGAAGCTGTACAAACCTGTTCAACTAGAAGATGGAACTTACCCATGCACAGATTCCCAAGGCCAACCGTTTGCTCCAACATGCAACAGTAATACCAAAACCTCTTTGGGCCACATTTTGACAGTGGATGCTCTGAATTCAGGCTGGTCTGGCACTTGTGTATTCTTTCTTTTTGTCACCACTTGTGGTTTTTCTTGCCAAAAAAAATTTGCCCATCAGCACTACTGTGGCCAAAAGATTTCTCTGCAGAAGTTCAGAACTTCCTTGTACATGTAGCCCCTTGCACAGATCTGGAGTCAGATTCAGAACAAAAGATTCTAGAAAAGGCCCTTTCTTACAGGAAGGTAATAGGGGTTGAGAATAAAATGTTAATAAAGGGAAACACAAAAGTACTGATGTTGGTGTGCATTTTTAAAATGAAGACTGAGGTGTAGCTCAGTGGTAGAGTGCTTACCTAACATGCTCGAATCTCTGGGTCCATGCCTAGCACTGAAATACACAAATAAATTAAATGAATACTCCCCAGGTTCCTCAGAGCCTGAAAAGGTGCACAGAGATGCTGTGCCTTCATTCATGTGCTTGTTCGCTCAGTGAATTTTGCTGAGCATCTAGTATGTACAAGGTCTGTGTTACAAACGGGGACATAATGGACAACACACATACAGTCCCCCTTTCATAGTGTGCGACCCAGTATGACACTAGATATCAAACAAGACAGTGGAATTAGTAAATGATCGCAGTAGCGATTCAACAGAGATGGGGTGGGTGGTAAGTGGCCTTCACTTGGACATGGGCTCAGGGGAGGCAGCTGTAAGAGGGTGAGCAGGCCTGAGTGCTGCCTGGAAGGGCCAGGCAGGGAGGGACACACACTCCCTGCTGCTTTGCTTCTTCCTGTTGCCTCTCCCCAGGCGAGACAAACAGCACTGCTTCTGGGGCTGCACAGTCCCTGGTGCTGTGTCCACAGTGGGCTTCGGCCTCCTTGGGCCACAGCTGGTGGGATGCTACCGTCATATGATGGTGGCCCTTTAGCAGAAAGTTTTGAGCTCTTTCTCTTGGGTGTCAACAAGAAGATCAGGGCAGGGATAAGGTGAATGGAACCTCCAGAGGTTGGGGGTGCAGGCATGAGCAGTGCTGTCCATCCCCCACATTCCTTCATCCCCCCTTTTGTGGCCAGGGAGGCTGCAGGTCAGTGCTAGAATGGCAGCAGCATTACAGCTAGACTTCCCTGTGCTCTGACCCCCCAGGGAAACCCCAGTCACACCAAGTCCAACTGTACAGAGCAGCACCTCAAGAATTTGTGGGGGAAATAAACTGAGAAGAACTATGACGAGGTGAAAAGGCCACCCTTGTCTTCTTCAAGAGCGATTTCTGACCACGCAGGCCACCCCTGCTCACACCCACCATGCTGGGCTCAGGCCCATGTGGTCACAGCAAAAGGAGTCGTGATCGCCCCTGACCAGGTTCCTAACTGGTTGAAGACCTGAGTTTCAATGTAGATAGTGGAATAAGCACTTAAATATATATACATTGGAGTATTTTATGGACTGTTTGTGTCCCTAAAAGATTCATTTTTGAAGCCCTGTTATGATTTAGGTATGAGGTATCCCCCCAAAAAAAATCATGTGAGACAATGTAAAAATTTTCAGAAGTGAACAGATTATGATATATAATCCAATTATCGGATCAATCCCCTGATATGGATCAACTGGGCAGTAACTGTGGGCAGGTAGGGTGTGGCTGGAGGAGACAGGTCACCATGGGTGTGCCTTTGGGGTTTATATTTTGTTCCTAGAGAATAGAACTCTCTCTGCTTCCTGGTTGCCATGTCCGGAGCTGCCTTCCCTCCACCAGGACCTTCCACCACGACCTTCCTCCTTACCTGTGGCCCACAGCAACGAAGTCAGCTGTCCATGGACTGAACCTCTGAACCCATGAGCCAAAATGAACTTTTCCTCCTCTAAGTTGTTCTTGTCAGGTTTTCGGGTCACAGTGATGTAAAAGCTGACTAAAACAAGACCTAATTGATGTCATTTGGAGATGGGGCTTTTAGGAAGTAATTAAGTCACTAGTTTATTTCCCCTGGTGAATGGGATTGGTGTCCTTGTGAGAGAAGGAAGAGAGATGATCTCTCTCCCCAACATGATGACAACTAGAAGATGACTATCTGCAAGCCAAGATGGGAGCCCTCACCAGAAAGTGAATCTGTAGGACCTAACCAGTCTCTAGAACCATGAAAAGTAAATGCTGTTTAAGTCACCCAGGCTATAGTGTTATGTCACGGCAGCACATTTAAAGAAATATGGATTATTATTTGTTTTTTCTACTTTTCTATATTTCTTGGAGGGTAGCTTGGAATCACAAAACAGCTTTTAAATTTAGTGCTCTACCCCAAGCCTAGGAAAGAGTACATTTAGGAATGTCTTACCAAATGTCACCTTTGATTAAATTTAACTTCTTTAAGAGAGGAAGAATACAGCTATTTGTGTTTTTATTTTTGTCAGTAAAAGGCTAAAAGGAGGGGCTGGGGTTGTAACTCAGTGGTAGAGCACTCGCCTACCATGCATGAGGCACTGGGTTTGATCCTCAGTACCATATTAATGTAAAATAAAGATATTGTGTCCACCTAAAGCTAAAAAATAAATACGTATTTTTTTAAAAGGCTAAAAGAATATAAACAGGTAAAGACATCTAGCTCTTCCTTTGACTCAAGCTACTGCAATTTTTTGAAGTACCTAAGAAACAGTCATGATTAACTAACCTTCCTGTTTGCCCTTAAGGTAAGCAACTGTCCCAGGGACAGTCTAGTTTTAGCACAGAAAGTCCTGTGCCCCAGGAAACCCCTGGGTCCTGGGCACAAGGGAGAGGATGGTCACATCCTGCGGCACTTGTCTTCCAGGCTGTGATGACATTTTTACCACTAAGTATCCAGGATGTACTTGAACACCAGCCAGGTGGCTTATGCTGTCTACCATCCTGTCTTAGTCTGTGTCCACAATATTGAGTTCTGATTCAGGTGAACTGGAACTTCTTTTATATATTCTCCCCAGTAATTCTGTGCTACCATGAAGACATGCATGTAAACTTATGTTTGCTTTCATTAGAGTTTAAAAGAAAACACACCAAAATCGAATGGAAAACATTCTCTTTAGGAACAACATAGTTTTTTTTTTTTTTCCTCAGATTTTTTATTTCTACACAGTCTGTGACATTTCCCTTTATGAACAGGAGGTTAGCAAAGTCAGCTTCTTAGATGATTCCATCCTAAACACACATCCTAAACAAACTATCAAATCAACCAGTGGGAAGTTCAAAAACATCCAATAAACACTATTTTGTCCACATACTAATGAATAGGAAAAGGTTCTTTGTGTTCCCACTCTGATCGATCACAGTGGCTGGTTTTAAAGAACATGGACCTCTGGGGTGACTTGCCATGATGTCAAGGGCAAGCCGTGATCCAGAGACTTAGCACGATGACAGCTCATGACTCCATACTGGTAAACACTTCTGGCAGAATATTTCCTTGAAGACATGCATTCCAACTTAAAGATGAAAATTAAGGTCTAAGATGTTTATTTTCCAAAATAAGTAAAGGTGGGTTGTGATATTAATAACCTGCTTACATCAGCACCCATTTACAAGTTAATGAGTTAAGACAGTGACATCCAGCTAAGCCCATTTAGACTCATAATAGACTCACTTTGTCTTGTCATCAAGTAAGAGGCTGTCACCTGTACCAAATTCTAATAAATAACACCATTACCAATTACGGTGAACATAAATCAGCACATCTTTGACCATGTTGGAAAAGACAAGCCTTTGCAAAGGAGTCACCTCTATGTTAGTCTGATAACCACTAGTTAATTTGGCAGATGGGTAACAAAGATCTAAACTTGCTATTCAAATCAACTTTCTTTCTTTACCTGGATTCATGATGTTTGTTTGTTTTTTAACAGATCATCTTGAAAGGCGTTCTATATTTCTCCTCCACTTATTGACTAAGGAAAACTAACTCTTCCTAACCTACCTGCCATCACCATTACAGGGACGAGAGGAGACACCCACCCACCCACCCACCATGTGAGAGAGGGAGGGAAGACCCTCCAATGTCTTACCTCAGCCACCATACTCATAACCCACCTGCAGGTGGCATTACCACGGATCCTTCTTCCTGAATTCACTACCATCAGATCTACCACACTGTGCTACAGGAAGCAACGCTTAGCCCACATTATGTGAGAGCAACTAGTCTGGACTAAAATAATGCTGTGCTGCTAGAAACCCATTAATATGTGATGCTACATCTTTGAAAGATGGGGACTTTAAAAACAAGACCCATGTGCAAAATAAAAATGAATCCAAATGAGCACACTCCTCCTAATATCTTAAATTCAGTAGTATAAGTTTGCAGGTCCACATTACATGGCCCGTGAGCACGAGGCCTCTGTCAACTTCCAGGGCCTGTCCTGGGTGCCTGGGTGCTGGGTTGTAGGAGAGCCACCCAGTTCCTGCTCCACACACCTTGCTTCATCTAATGTGTTATGTGTTTCACTGGACAAAACACCCCCACTGTCAGGATTTCTGTTTAAAGTGCAAAAAGCTTCCACGAGGTTGGCTTGTGGTTGCTGCATTTTCATCCTTCAGTCTTCGAGCTCAGACAGAGCTCCAACCCACAAGTGGGCAGTTGAGAACAGCCTCTTTGGGAGGCACAGTCCACCTTGTCCTTCTGTTTTCCTGCACAAGATCACTTTGCCGGTGCAGGTGCAGTTTGAGCATCAACACCCTCCTCACTGAGTGCAGGGTTCTACCCCTCACCAGTGAACCAGAACACTGGTGCTAAGGGCTGAGGCACAGAGATGCTCAAGAATGCAGACTCTGACAGGATCCAGCTACTCCAGAACTTAGGCCACAACAAAAAAAGAGTATTCAGGCTGTGCACTACCTCATGACTTAGTACTGCAAAAAACAAATGGTCCTATAAGCAACTTCCAACAATCGTTTTCCCTATCATGCATCCAGTGCAGGGGAACTGGTGCAAACATAGCAGGTATGTTGATTTGAAACATTGCAGTAGACTACAGCTGTCCTCTCCATAAATAAAACACTATGTTTTTTAAAGTTCTGCACATAGAAAGCAATTCATTCAAGTCTTAAAATGAATTTAAGTTGCTAACAAGTGACTTTTTTCTAACGATGAAATTATTTTGATTTTTTAAAAGATATAGTCTTGCTTATTTCAAAGACTTTGGAAAGTAAAAATGTACTTATTTTTCCCTTACTATGTTAGTTTATTATTTCATGTTAGCACATGCAAACAAAATTGACTCTTAAATATATTATTTTAATCTGGTTAATGTTTAGGCATCTTGTTCATAGATGATTAGTCACAGTA